GTCATCCCACTGGCTCCACCGGGCTCCCTCGTCCCTCTGGCTCCGCCCTGGTCAGTCGTCGACCATCCGCCACCTCGGGACTCCACTCCTCTGGCTTCACCTCATCCCTCCGTCCCTCCAGCTCTGTCAGGCTCCTCCTTCCCTTCGACTCCACCTTGGTCCTCAGTCGCTCCTGCCTCCATCGCCTCCGCCTCGGTCACTGGCGCCATCTGCTCCGCCTTGGCCCTCCGGATGCTCCTCGTCACCCTGGCTCATCGGCTCTCTATCTCCGCCTCGGGCTCCTCCTCCACCTGCTCCGCCACCATCGGTCGTCCCCCTGGAGTCGTCAGTCCTTCCTCCACCATGGTTCCTCCCTCCATCATTATGGCTGCGGCCTGGGTCTCGCATGGCTCCTCCTGCTCCAAGTCCCTCCTGTCTTCTCCCTGGCTCCTCCTATTTCCTCCATGGCTCCTCCCTCCTTTGTCTCCACCCTGGACTCTGTTCACCATCCTCCTCCCGGGAGTCCATCCTCCGCCCAAACCTCCACCTGGGTTGTCCGTCCGCCTTCCTGCCAGCACAGCACCATCCCCTGTCACCATCCCACATCCACTCCTAAGTCCCCCTCCGTCCCACCCTTTCTTCCTGTGGCGCGAGGACATGCCTTCCGGAAAGGGGGCGAACTGTCACACCCCTTTGGACGTTTTGTTGTGTTTTCATCCCTCATGTGTTCATTGACCCTGTTTCTGTCTCTCTTTCATTAGTTAGTTCCTTGTGTGCCCATATTTGGTTATGTTCCTGTTTTTGTTATGTTATTATTAGTTCATCCTCCTCACTGGTCTGTCCCTCATCAAGCTCCCCTATATTTAGTCAAGTCTGTGCATTCTGTCTTTGTCCAGTGTTAAAGATGAGTTGTGCGTGTGCTACTGCCTACCTTCTGTGGATTCCTTTGGTGTGGATTATATTAAAGACTGTTTGCATTCTACCTAGTCTTCATCATGCGTTTCTCACTCCGCACCATGACATTAGGGTTACTTGCATGTAATTAAGAATAACTAATTGTTATTATAATAGTAAGTACATGTAACGTGTAACAAGGACACCTTAAAATAAAGTGTTACCCTATCTTTTTTTACCCTGTAGTAGTGCATAAATTAGTTGAGCTTTTATTATTGTAATTTCTGAAGACATTACTTTTATTTCTTTTTGGTTTCTGTATTATCATCTCTACATCTCTGACTCTCACAGGAAAGCAGTAAAGGCCACACTGGTTCTTCTGCCACTGCTGGGCATCACATACATGCTGTTCTTCGTCAACCCTGGCGAGGATGAGATCTCACAGATTGTCTTCATCTACTTCAACTCTTTCCTAGAGTCCTTTCAGGTGAGTAAACGAGCCCAGTCTCATGATGAAAACCTACCGTTTTTTGCAAGATGCGAAATACGTAGCACCATGTATTGAGATTGAGGGAGACGTTAAGTTTGTTTTGATTTATTAATTTACTTACAATAACAATTTAAAATGTATTAACTTTTACATGTATTATTAACTGCATTATATACATTTTTACTTCATAGAAAAAACTTTATAAATAAATATTTAGTAAAATTCTTAAATCGCTATGGGGGAGCCAGGCCCCCCTGGCCCCCCCACAAGCTACGCCCATGCCATGTATGTTTCGTGACATATTCGGTATGAAATATCCACTGAGTGGCGCTAAAAGAGTGTTCAGTTTTTTCCCCGGAACAGATGAATGTACATATGGTACAAAAACGTTGGTTTTGTACGTGTCACCGCAGTTCTGACTTGAAATGTCCGTTGATTGGCACTATAACTGTAATGCCCCATGACGTTTTAAAATAACGTACCATCTGCACTACACTTAAACCTAACCGATAGTATGAACAAAAGCGAATATGACATAAAAACGCAATCATGCAATTTTAGCTTGTTTTTCGAACTCTCATCTTTGAGCTCTTTTATCGTGAGTCATGTTTTTCACGGGATTCGTGCCCAAGGATTCCGTATCCTAAATCAAATTCCGTGCCAGCTGAGCTACCGAGTAAGCTTGTTAATGCCAGAAATCGAAAAGTGGAGCTGGTTAAGTGACGCAGTCCAAAACTGTGTACAAAAACGATTAAAAGTGCTTGCTGTTTTACTGCCTCTAGTGTTCATTTCTGTTGGAAACTGCAGTGATATGTACTTATTGGTACGCATTTCGCGTCTTGCAAAAAAGTTCCCACAGGTCTGTTTTCTTCATGAGATCAGGTTGCAGCCAACAGTTTTAACCCTGATTAATTGTGTTAAAGCAGATCCGAAACTAATCTTTACAACTTAGAGGTGGAAATTCACTAAGAATAAATTGCACCCACTGATAGAGTTATTTGCACATGCTGTCTTTTACAAAAGTGCTGAGGTTTGTGAACAAGGCACATTGTATAATAAGCCTGATTTGCATTGAAAATAATGACAGTCACTGAATCTAAATATGACACTGTGTATTTAAGTGCATTTAGTGCTTGCTTAAACTGGATTGCAGGTGCTTAAACATCACATATTAAAGTGGTGCAGCTGTTCAGTGTTTTCACCCCAGAAGCTGCTTCACTAAAGGTTATTGTTTTTGCAAAAAAAAAAAATAGTCGTTTGCACGACTAAATGTGTGTGTTTTGAGGTTTAGTGTTCTGTTAAACCTCACCCACATGTTTAGAATTTCCTTGTGGTACATTTCTCACAGTCCACCATGTCATCCGATGCACACAAGGTCAACTCTGTCCCCTGTTTTGCACCATTTGCTTCCTGGCATGACACGGTGGTCTCTCACGCATGTTGAATTCATGTTTTCTACGGATTCATCTGCCTCCACATCTGTCCGATTCCTCATGGGAATGTCAGTTCATTTGTGGGGAAAATTTAATTTATGTTAAACGGTTTAATGCAAACAGATTGTTTTGGTTAGTTTTGGAACAATCCTGATCAAACTAATAAAAAAAATTAAAATCATTAATAAATATATATATAACTGCAATATTGTCTATAGTGGTTCTATCTATATCCATTTCACTGTCGCACAGTTAGACAAAGAACACTTTTCCTTATAAAATCAAGATTATTAATTTAACTGTTAATGTCTAAAAAAGATTATTAATTAGCTTTAAAAATGTATACTTTTCATGGGTGGAAAAAAATAATAAAAAATGATTTTACTGTGGGCATAATCAGAGGTTTTACAGTTTCCTCAGCAAAATGCCTTTCCAGAAAAAAAGAGTTTAAAATGACCATCAGGATGTTAAGTAACTGTAGCAACAGCAAAATCGTTTATTGGTTTACTTAAATTTCATTTATTAGAAATTGTCTAGAGGGTTAGATAAGTCTCAGATAAGTCTATGCATTTCACATCATGATGAATTAGAGTGAGAAGGGAGATGTTGATGATTGTTTCACTTGTTTACTAAATCATATACAGTACATATGATGTTTAAATTGTTTTTATTATTTATTTATTTCTTGATAGGCTATGTATTATACAAGTGGGGTTTTTTTTCTGTGATATAATTGGCACAGATTTCCCTTTTGAAGGTTATGCAGAAATGAGATTTTTGCTTTCAGCATCAGCTATTTGACACACTTGTGTTTTGTTAATGTAACCCAGACACAAGCAGCATTACAATGATTTGAGAATTGATTAATTTGTGATTGACAGCTAATAACTGTAGCAGGGTTGAAATCACTTCCATTTGTTCCATTTGTCACATTGAATATCCTATTTCACTTGAAAATACGATAGCACTTTAGAATAGGGAACACATATTCACTATTAACTAAGAGTTTCCCCTCAATTAACTCCTAATTTGCTGTTTATGAATAGTTATTAAGGTAGCTGTTAAGGCATTGATATGTGCTTTATAAGTACTAATAAACAGCCAATATGCTAATATGCATGCTAATAGTGAGAATTGGACCTTAAAATAAAGAAATAAATGGCTTGTGAATCCTGTTTTATGTTGACTTTACAGAATTGTTTTAAATGAAATTTGAGTGTTATTTAGAATTTGTTTATTTCTTATTTAACTGTTTCTCATTCTCTTGTCCTCTTTACAGGGCTTTTTTGTGTCAGTGTTCTACTGCTTTTTGAACAGTGAGGTAAGAAAGCTCTTTTCCTGATGTTCTTCTTCTGTTTCCATCCTTTTTGCACAAATATGCCCTCTACTTTTGACTTTTAGGAGCACAGCTCTACTAAAGCGATGGGTCTGTTCTTTGAAGAGCAATGCAAACAGTCTGAGTAATTTGGGCAATTCAGATCTCTTCAGCCATGGCTGTCCAGTGAGACCCGGCCAAAAAAAGAATCACATCGAGACCCTCTTGGAAAAACCACCTTAAAACCACCCTTTTTGCAGTCAATAACTATAAAAACCGACCCCGCTCATAAAATATTAATTCCTGCGAGGTCTAAATCTGACTTGTATTACATGCCCTTTGAAAAGGACAGTAAACTTTTGGGAATTTCCAGCCAAAATGTTCCTCTTTAGAGTCTTTCCCAGGTCGAAAACGCAAGCACATCTTACGCATCATGTTGTACCCCTAAGTGAACACGCTTACAGGGGCTGTAAAAGGATCCAGGATTGGATCCGTCTGGGCTTATTTTAGGCCGTGAACAAGTTCAAGGCAAGCAGGAAAGTGTGGGGCTTGATCTGAGGTCACCCTCAATCACAGACAGATATCAGAATACACAAGCAAAGCAGAGCGTACAGTATTGCTTAAGTCAAAGTGATAGCATTGATCTGTTCCCGGTACATATGAAAGTGACACCGCAATGTCAGAAGCAAAACCTCAAAAAAAAAAATACCAATGTCATCGGCATTATGCTACTTCTAAAGGTACATTTGGCTCCAATGTGGCAATGTAAATATGTTCAGAACTAAAAAGCCTGTGGTACTAAATTACAGCTGAAATAACAAACACTTGTCACTGAAAGTCAAAGGACAACAGAGAAATGATCTGGCTTGAAAGTGCAATAAAGCGCTTTCTTTCAGGCAGAAGGTTATTCGCTCACTTTCTCTCAATGTGTTGCATCATAGTTTTTTTTATTTGATTACCAGTTAAAGCTTTTTAAAAGGATAGTTTAACCAAAAATTACAATTTCATCATCGTTGTTCCAAACTTGTACACAGTGTACACTGTCCACATGTTTTTCTTTTGCATGCAATAAAAATGTGTGTTTATTCACACTTTCAGGCTCCAGTATAAGGACAAAAAAAGGTCCACACGACTTCTGAAGTTGCTATAAGAGAGAAACAGACCAAAATTTAAGTCTTTATTCACAGAAATTCTTGAAATTGTGTTCACGATTTAAACCTGTCGAGTCACAATATACATGAGAATCAGTGAAGTTTGAGCGTAGCTGTAATAATTGAATATATAACAGCAATTACATAACCAGGCCTACCTCTTTTTAAAGCATGGCTACTCTATTTATGTCTGTCAAACAAAATTCCGTCATGAGTTTGCACTTTTGCTGATGTACCAGATGATTTTGTAATAAATTGTTTAAAATGCAGTTCATCTTTGTACAAAAAAAACAGAAAGCATTAGCGTTTGTGTCCAGTTGTTACGTTGAAACACTAAATATAACATTAGAAGATGAAAAATAGAGTCTGATACAATATGTGCATTTTTCAAGATTAGTGGTTGGTTTCAGGAACGAACAAAACTCCATTGTGGTTACTTAGTATCTTAATGACGCGTATCATAACAAGAGCAACATAATGCTGGGAATTAGTCAAAAAGGAGGTTCGTATGTCAAAGACAGTTCAGTAAGCTTGACAGACAAATGAGTGCAGCGATTTGATCGACTATCTCTTGGAAGGTCAATTGAGCTTGGCTTTGACAAGCAAATGCTAATTTAGAAGGAATGGTTGAAAAGAAATATAGATACTGTGATTTTAAATACATACATTTTTATGATTAAATATATAGATGGTAAGCAGCTATGAAATATTCTCAGTCTTTACTGCCTCAGTTACAATTATGTACTTAGGAAACCACAGTTAGACTTTCATGTTTGTGTGAGCTGAAAGAAAAAGTGAATGTCGGGGATTATTTTCAGCAAATACTCTGAAAGCTGTATTTCAAACATTGCTTTAAGTGTCAGCAGTCACTGACCCAAGGGGTTTTACGCTTTTAGAGAAATAGAGAACAAGAGAGAGCCAAGCTCTTAGAGCAAAGTCAGAAGTTTCTTCTCTAGATTGATGTTTGATCGCTTGGCATGAGTTTGACCTCCCGGACTCATCTTCTAAACCTCCCACTTGACACAATCCCCAAGGTTAATTACATACAGCACCAGAGCTTTGCTGTTCACTTCTGATCTACTGTGGAGACTAACTTTTGACCCTCTTGGGCATGGGCAACTGTTCATACTGTGTCATGGGCTGCCAGCAACTATTTCCTGCCTATTCAAACTGTGGCTACTCAGAGTTTTAAGTTGAGAATATTTTGAATGAAACTTCTTTGATAATTAAGTGACATAATTAGTGTAGGTAAACAAAATAAAATAATGTATATCTACGAATGTTTATGTATACTGTATTATGTATAAAGGTTTGTTCAATATAGCTCTTGAACTTGAATCACAGGGATTTGAATTCTTGTTTTTTTTTTCTGCTTCAGCGGCTTGTGAAGTGTTTACTGGCTTAAATTTCAGCGAAGTCAGCATTGTTGATACAAGCTTTGGTGATTTTGAATCAAAACTTAATCTGGCAAGAGAGCAACAGGCGTGGAAGCCGTACGCTGTCCATAGCGCATTGGACCGCAGACTACTATTTCTCCGCTGACCACTTCAAAGACAGGCACCCTACAAAGTGTATTGAATGAGGTGGAGATAGACAGGAGGTTTAAATGTTTTCTTCGACATCCATCTCATTGATTTGCGGGGAGCGAGGCCTTTTACAGTCTTTCAGAGAGCCGACAGACTGATTCAGTGAAACGGCCCCCTCCGAATTACTGTCTAACGCGGTCCAGGTTTTTCTCATATGACCACAGGCTTCTGGTTTATTTCCCCCGTTTTTAAATTGTATTTGACATTTTAGTTGTCAAAGGACTGTAACAATTTCAACCTTTGCTGACAGCACAGCTTAAGGAAATGGCATAGGTTTGGTTGCTAAGGAGAGAACTCCCTGGTTGCCATGATAGAACACTGATTATGCAAATGATGTAGCTTTTCATTGGTGGCATATATCACACTGATGCGATTTAAATGCTAATGATTTGATGTTAAGATGTTTTTTGCTGGGAGCAGAGCTTTACTGCCGACCTTTGACCAGTCCTGCCGCTCTAAATCCAGATCTGATCCATTAGCAAAGCAGCTAAACTGCTCTCAGTTCAGTGTAAAATATATACAAGCGCAATACAATCTTCATATATGTAGAATATAAACCCTCCCTCTTTAGATGGTATATGCAGTGTAAACAACATTGAAAATCTGCCATTGTATATTTAAATATATATTTTTATATATCTTTCTTTTTTCCTTTCACTCAAAATGTGAAAGATTTATTATTATTATTATTATTATTATTATTATTGAAGCATTTTCTCTAGTGGTCCTTTGTATAAAAAATGTTAATATATATCACCACCGTCTCTCTTAATCACCCACTTTCTCCATAGTATTCTCTCTCTCTGTCCGCTGTAAATTAAACTGCGGTCAAACATGTGCCCACACGGATATGTATTTATTTTTTCTTTCCCTGTCACACACACACACACACTGACACACACACACACACACGCATGCATCTGCCCACACAAACACATACACACCTGTTCTCACACTTTCTCTCTCACACTATGGGAAAGGTCAATTATTAGTCTTTTTAATATTACTCTTTGCAATGAAGATGAGTTATATTGAGATGCTACGTGTGGGATTGTTATGTGCATGATGTATGATGCTTTTCTTTTTGAATTTTATTTTTCTTGCCAACATTTTAACTAACAACATTTTTTTTTAAAACAACTTTTTAATATTTCAGAAATACATTTATTTTTCATTAAATATTTTTGAACAAAGATAACACAAGATACAACATTTTTCAATAATTTATTAGAAATTTTGATGTGTTTATTAAATTTAAACAGGAACAGAGGTTTGAAAAAAAACCTTTGTAAAACAATTATTTCTCTTACCTATTATTTTAAAGCATAGTAGGATACCTGACAAGGTTAATGTAAATTAAACTCTAGTGAGGACCAGTAGCATGACAGGTGACGTGTTTGACAGAAAATACATGCTGCTCTTTGTTGACATGTTTGACAAATGACTGACAGAACTATACACTAGTGAGATCTAATCACTCTTTTAAAGTCACTTTTAAAATCATGTTTTGTTTAAACCACATATTTCTAATTTGTCTGTCCATATTTATGTCATTTGTCTTTAATTTCCACCTTATTTGACTGGGTATTCAGAGCTACAAAAAAAAAAAAGTAACACTTTATTTTAGGTTAGGTTAGGTTCTCTTAACTAGTTGCTTATTAAGCACTAATTAAGCACATATTAATGCCTTATTCTACATGACCTTATTCTACATCCCTAATCCTACCCAATACCTAAACTTAACAACTACCTTACTAAATATTAATAAGCAGCAAATTAGGAATTTTTTGAGGGAAAAGTTAGTTAATAGTGAATAAGTGTTCCCTATTCTAAAGTGTTACCCAAAAAAACACTTGCTTGCTGTTGTACAAACAAAGCTACAAGAATACAGATAAACATTGACAACTATATATTTAAAATTTTATATTTTAGTTGTATTGTGTTTGGTGTTCATTTATGTGTACTAGGTTTAATGCTGACACCATAATTGATATCCTAAATTGATTTGTGTGTGTGTGCGTGCGTGCGTGCGCGCACGCGTGTGTGTGACAGATAAATACTGCTCATTTGATAAATATCTCATTTAAATTATATTCCCCTCATATATGGCTTAAGCCATACATTTTGTTACTAACTTGTACTGAAGC